GAACCATCGCAACGTGTCTCCGTCGTCGGTTTGGTTGGAGCAGAGAGGCGACTGCAAGAGGAGAGGCGACCTGCAGTCGGTCGGGAGAGGAAAATGAACCTTTAAAGGGAGATATTTAGTTAAAGGATAGGGGGTGAAATGGGAAAAGTAAAATACGTCGTAAATGAACAGTGCAGGCCTGATTGCTTCTTTTAATTGAAGCAGTGATAAATATCAAAGACTGATAAAATTTTCATACGTCTAAGAGATTTTTTAATAAAATAGATAGTTTAAAAATCAATTACCTTATAATACAAAACATTTCTTCAATTCAGCCTCGGGTCTATCTTTAGGTTATGGGATTTTGAATATTGTGACTATTCAGGATTTGAGTTGCGATTTCAGTGAACCGTCCTATAACGCGCGCATATATGGCTCTCACTGAGTTTTTCTCAATGTTTTAAAAATGAACTTAGTAATCAACCTAAAAAAGAGAAAAGGTCAAGGAGTCAAAAGGTTGAACCAGGGTCGAACCGGTGATTTTTAAAAATTGAAAAATATACATTTACAAAAATTTGAAAAAAAATATATACTACATATGTTGAAGCGGTTAAAGGAACGGGGTCACGAGTCTTTCAAAAATAAGTCGATTTAACGGGTTTTGAGGCGAATTTTTAACTAGAGGTTTTATAATCCTAACCGAACCGATTTTGGAATCGGTTCCCGATTTTTTTGGTTAATCGATCGAGCCGATCCAGTTTTTAAAACATTGGTTTTTCTTATAGATGCCGCCTACGGGATCATCCATAATAAGATTGATCATTATTACTAAGAGCCTAGAAATTTTTACTTTAAATAACTTAACGAAATTCTTTTGATACATAAGACATACCAAAGTTCCATTTATATCTAACTAAATATAAAAGAGCACTTTTGGAGTTACTGTTCACAAGCCGGTGGCTTCACGGCTCCATCCAGCCGTTCTCTTCAACCGGTTGAAAGTCTCAATTGGGTAAAAAAATAGGGGTTCATTTTTGCTCCTTCCAGAAGATTCATTCTCTTCCTTTTGTTTCTCTTAGGCACTTTTGGAGTTACTGTTCACAAGCCGGTGGCTTCACGGCTCCGTCCAGCCGTTCTCTTCAACCGGTTGAAAGTCTCAATTGGGTAAAAAAATAGGGGTTCATTTTTGCTCCTTCCAGAAGATTCATTCTCTTCCTTTTGTTTCTCTTCAAAAAGTAAGGGTTTTCGTTCCTGTCGAAGCCGCCGCCGTGACACTCACATCGGCCACGAAGAAGTCGCCTGTCTTCCCCCAATCGTCGGCATCAGACCTATGCCGATCCTTAAGAAATAGCCGGTTCGAGAAATATTAATTGTTCCTTTAGGTTTGTAGAATATTATTTCTTGTTATTTGCTGATGAAGACATCGCTCTTCTTCCTTATACTCCTTTAGTTCAATTACTCTGTTTGATCAAGTTTTCAGCAAAATCCTAGACGTGCTCCATCTCCTCTACCTACTGGGTCCCCGCACCCACATAGTGGTACGGCCATCACATAACAAATCC